TAGTAAGTGTCTGAGGCTGAATTTAAACTCAAGTCTTCCTGACTCCAGGCCCCATCGCTATTCAATGCACCACTTAGAGTGAAAAGCACACTGGTTCTGCAGTCAGAGCATCTGGGCTCAAATCCATCTTTAACACTGCCAGTAGGATAGGAAAGTCTCAAGCTCCCTGGCCTCAATTTCCTAAACTGTAAAATGAAGCTGGACCAGATGGTCTCTTAGGTACCTTCCAGCTTGCTATGACTGAAACACATAGCTATAATACCTAATAATAAGCTCCCAAGTAAATTAGAGCATACAAATGGCCATGTGAGATGCCAGAGATAAGATTGTTACAGACAAGGGATCTGAGAAAGCTTGACAGGAGAAGCAGGGCTGCCTCTGCTGAGTTTGAACTAGTCGAAATCAGGATTGCAGACAGCAGTCATCTGCTTATGAATGGCAAGTATCATTTTTCAACCATTAAAAAGAGGCCAGATTCTAGACACCAGCGACAGCCTACTACAAACAAAACTACATTCCTGAACACCCTATCTGAAACCATTTATATTTCTTCTATTCTCACTAATCAGCTTTCTTCCCAGCAAATGCAAACATTTTAAAAAATGCTTTCAATTGAACAATTAGAGACCTAAGAATCAATTCCTCAAAAGATTATGGCTGAAGTCCAAATTGTGAAAGAGTACAGCCCTCAGTCTTTCTCCTCCTCTCACTCTGCTCCAAGCACCTCTTCTGAATTCCCTCTCCACAAGGATTTGTTCTCAGCTTGAAGCCCACTAGTTCCCTGGAAGGTGTTAGCTAACCCTCCCCCTGAAGGGCAAGAGGGCTCCCCAGCTCTGTAGCTTCTGAAGTCTCAATTTCCTCTGCTGCAAAAAATAAGAATGAGAATAATATTGTACAGGCCAGGAGTTGCTGTGTAGGAGAGTGCTTTGTAAAGCTCATGGTGCTACATAGATGAGTTATTGTTATTATTTTGTCTGGGCCTGGGATCTCCACCAGGGAGTTCCTGGTGGGCAAAATCTCCTTAGATACAGACCAGCAACTGTTCTACAACTTAGTTTTAGAGTCACCAGGGCAATGAGAGGGTGACTGTCCCATTTCACAAGGCCAGGATATATCAGAGGCTGGATGTGAATCCAGGTTGTCCTGACTGAGAGGTGAACTTCTATCTACTACACCATGCTCTCATTATTATTGTTTACATTTTAATAAAGGTGTACAGAAAACCAAAAGCTATCAAGTTCATTCAAGTAATTAATTTCTAATGGTAGAACATCAAACAGGTGGTAGATATAGTCAATACCTATCAACCAATCAATAAACTAGCACTATTTCAAAAGTTTAAAATTCTACATCAAGGCCTGTCTTGTCTTTCACCGTCTCTGCTCTGCCCTCTGTCCCCCACCTCCCATATTCAAACAACTTATAACACTGAGCACAATGACCACATACTGAGTGTGACTTCGGGCTCTCTTTCAGATTTCTTCTCCTTTGGTCCATACCCTGGTCCGAGCCTTCAGACCCAGACAACACTGGTATACTATGAGGAAACAAACAAAAAAATGACATGGGGTATTGAAATGATTTATTCAAGTCACTCGGCAAGTCAGTTTTGGAGCCAAAAATAAAATCCTTTTATCCTCAGACAAAGTCTAAGTTGAGAAGGAAGGAAAACAATTAAAACAGTGAAGAAATGTAGTTACTATAATCGGTATCTTTTGTACATCTGAACTTCCTTTCAAATGCTTAAAGCATGTAAAAGTTGACTCAGCCTCACGATACCCAGTAAGGTATTATTCTGGCTTGGAAGATGGAAAACAAGGTAAAATTAGATGATTTGCTTATTAATATATTCCCCACTCTGAGGCAGAGAAGATGAGAAGATGTAACATTTCTAGAGCTATGCTATGTACNGGAAGATGGAAAACAAGGTAAAATTAGATGATTTGCTTATTAATATATTCCCCACTCTGAGTCAGAGAAGATGAGAAGATAACATTTCTAGGGCTATGCTATGTAGTCAACTTAATCTCTGCAAACTGTTGAACAAGAAAAAAGTAGTTTCTTCATTCACATTTAGGCAGAGCAGTTGGGTAAACAGGACAATCTAGCAAAATTTCAACAGATCCAAGTAAACAAGCATTTAAGTCAAAGAACCTAAAGCAGAAACCTCTATGCATCCCAAAGGTTGGGTTCTACTTCTTTAACTAATTTAAGGGCAAAGAGTGTGAAGGGCAGGGTCACTGACTCATTTACCCATGAAAGCAGATTATCCAAAACATGTTGTTCAGAAATGATTTCATTTTTAACATCTACCTGAATTCAATCTTCTTTTTTTCATCTTTGTTCTAGGGCCAAATAATGGGAGAGAAAATTAGCTTAGATTCTATGTGACTCAAAAGTAGACATCAATAGTGGTTCTTTTATACTCTTTAATTAAAAATACAAGGTAGTTTTTTCATGGACTTAACTAGATATATTCCTACATGTTTCATGGATTATTAAATGAGTAGGATTAATAGAATTATCCGAAGTTTTCTGATAAGATTATTTATGTTAAACTATTATTATTGTTATTACCACATTTATATTTTCCTCCCACAGTGTCCCTACAAAGGAAATACAGTGACGTGTAAATTGCATTTGCTTTTTACCATTACTCATTATTTCCTTTTTTAATTTAGGCAGACAGAATGA